CTTAAGAGTAGAAACCGGCAAACAGCATTTCACTGCACACCATGTTACTAGTAAAAAATTGGTACATATCTTAACATTGTTGATCACCCCATGAGCATCCAATGCTCCCTGACCAGGCATGTGAGTTAATGGTCTGAGGATGCCAATCATGAGTAAAGGCCTCCAGATCAGAGTTTTGAAACTTTTCCACTGACCTGTTTGTTTGACATTTTCACTGAGTGCTGCAGACCAGCACACTTCAATATTCCCTGTTAGCGATGGATAAGAACTCTAGATCTCTAGACCTCTGGCACAAATCTGCATACCAGCGCTGTCAGTCTGAGACACTGTTTTCTGACATTAGACTAATTATAACTCAGGTGTACTTCCAACTAACACCCAACCATGTGGACATACTTTTATTTAACTAGTAAGACCAAGTATGCAGAAAACTGGACTCTGGGTCTGAGACATTTTTCTGTTTAGTTCCCTTGACGCTGTAATTCAACATTTAGCTGTTTAAGCCTTGCTCTATGCGTCTCTTCTGCACCTGTGAAACAGTTTGTAGACCTCTAAAAGCTCTGCAGTATGATAAGTTAGATCTATACACTTCTCATGCTTTCGGTCTTGTTTTTGTTGTAAGAAAAATCCAAGCTTCTTTTTTTTTTAGAACACTATTAGTTTAAATAATACTTTGAATTTGCACCCCTAGTTTTTTCAGTATTGTATTAGAAATGCATTCATTGTGGTCCAGATCTGCAGGCCTGCTCATCATATTATTACTATGTATTGTCAAGGTCTTAGAGTCTTTAAATGAGTGATTGATAACTGATTGTTAACATTTCCAAATATTAATGGAACAGAGTGCCTCAAATTTGCATCCCTGCTCTCCATCCATCTGTCCTCCTTTCTGCCTCTCTGTAATCCACTCACTCTGCCCAGCACTAACAGTAGAGGTTACTCAGCATTTTGAATTTAAGGCTATTTTTTATTATTTTATTATTATTAATATTTTTCTTTTACTGTTGCAAATGTTGGGCTCACTCACAATGAATCCAGGTTAAGTCTCTCTGAGTGCAGTCCAAGTGTCTTTAGATAAGTAAAGTTCAGGTCTGTCAGTGCAGAAATACAAACTGACTGACTGACTGATTTATTGAGAAAAAGGATTTTCACTGATCTGAGGACAGACAGGCAGGATAATGCCCACAAGTGACAGATATCCAGTGTTTAAACACACACACTCGCACGCACATGCACGCACGCACACGCACGCACACACACACACACACACACACACACACAGACAAATGCAGAGAGACAAACCATTTCAAAGACAAGCTGACAAGACGAAAGCTGCACATCCACAAGTGCAAACATCAACACATAACAGATTTAAACAAATGCACGCACAAGTTGGCCATGTCGACTCTGCATGTGTGTGTAGCTGTTGAAGATTCTAGCTGATCCTGACACTGATCCTATGTTTTGACTGAGACCAGAACCTTTACTGACACAAAGCAGACAAACAGAGCACAACTGATCCAACATAACAAGAGTAATCCCATCACTCGCCTTCAATCATATGCACGCACACACGCACACACGCACGCACGCACACACACACACACACACACACACACAGAGCTACAAAATAGGTTTGGAAATGAGAGGGATCCGACTGCATTTTAATCAATCAATCAAAATGTATTTATATAGCACCAATTCACAACAGTCGTCATCCCAAGACGCTTTTCAAAGAACAAGAGCATGTCTAGATCACGCTCATTGTTTGATGATCAAGAACCAACCTAAGATGGGTTTTGGCCCATCTCATCTAACATGAGTAGCTGTGGCAAGAAAAAACTTCCTTTGAACAGGCAGAAACCATGAGCAGGACCCAACTCATGCCAGACAGCAACCATGCCGCTGCTGGGTTGGGGAGGAATGTAGGGAGATAGGGGGGGGAGAGAGAGAGAGAGAAGAGGGGAGAGGGCAGGGGGAGAGAGAGAGAGAACAAGATAAGGGGAAGGAGAGAGAGAATGAGTAAGGAGAGGGAGGGTGAGGGAGAGAGAGTAGAGAACGAGGGTGAGAGAGAGACAGGGGACAGCAGTAACAACAGCAACAACAACAACAGCTCATGTAATGGTGAAACAAAATAAATTCAGTTTACAGGGTTAGGATTTGCGTAATTATGGACTATGTTAAATTAATGTAATGTGATTACAGTCAGCAGGCCTAATAGTAGTCAATTCTAGTTTTATGTTATTAATGTCAGTGAGGCTGATGTTCATGTCTGCAGTAACAGTCCAGAGGAACCCAAGAGAAGAAGAAGCTCAGGGCCTGAGGCAGACAATCATAGACGATGCGGCTAGAGTCAGGCAGGTCTGCAGTAGCCATCAGTCCAGAGCAACCTAGAAGCCTGGGGCTCAGAGACATACAGAGAGATCTGGTTAGCAATTTGATGGGAGAAATTACTTCAATTTACAGGATAATGAAGTAACTAATTATGGACTATGTTAAATTAATTTAAGGTGATTAAAGTTGAAACTCAATGGCAGTTTACTCTAGTTTTATTTTATAGATGTCTGTTAGGCTGACATACGTGTCTGCAGCAACGGTCCAGAGGAGCCTAAGAGATGGAGGAGCTCAGGGCCTGAGTTGGACAATCAAGGACGATGCAGCTGGGGTCAGGCAGTTCTGCAGCGGACCGTCTGCAGCATTAGTCCAGTGGAAGCTAAGAGACTCAGAGACACTCAGAGAGAGAGAAATCTGGTTAGTGATTTATGTCAATTAATCAATCAATCAATCAATCAATCAATCAATCAATCAACTTTATTTCTATAGCACATTTAAAAGAACCACGGGGGTAGCCAAAGTGCTGTACATTGTGACATAAAAACAAATAAAACAAGCAAAGAACAAGATAGAGCGAGCAAAATATATGGGACATAAAGATCTAAAGGAGAGATAGAGACAGACTCTAGCTCAGTGTGCCAGATAACCCCGGCAGTCTATACCTATAGCAGCATAACTAAGAGCTGGTTCAAATCAGCCCCAACTATAAGCTTTATCAAAGACGAACGTTTTAAGTCTACTCTTGAAAGTTGAGAGGGTGTCTGCCCCCTGAACCTTGAGCGGTAAATAATTCCAGAGGAGAGGTGCCTGGTAGCTGAAAGCTCTTCCTCCAATACTACTTTTAGAGACATTTGGTCCGACGAGCAGGCCTGCAGACTGTGAGCGTAACGGTCTAGACGGAAAGTAAGCTTGAGAGAGATGTGCTCCCTTCTGTTGGTTCTAGTCAATACCCAAACTGCTGCATTTTGGGCGAGCTGAAGAGTCCTTAAAGACTTACTGGAGCAGCCTGATAAGAGAGAATTACAGTAATCCAGCCGAGAGGTAACAAAGGCATGGACTAGTTTTTCTGCATCACTCTGAGACAGGATGGGTCGAATTTTTGAGATATTGCGCAGGTGGAAAAAAGCTATCCTAGAGATTTGTTGAATGTGGGAGCGAAAGGACAAATCCTGAAAAACTCCCAGATTTCGCACAGTGGGGCTGGATGTCAGACTGATGCCATCTAGCGTAGCTATATTATTAGAGAATGCCTCTCTAAGGTGTTTAGGACCAAGGACAAGAACTTCAGTTTTGTCTGAGTTGAGCATCAGAAAGTTATTGGTCATCCAGGATTTTATATCTTTGAGACAAGCTTCTAATTTGGTAACTTGGTTTGTTTCTTCTGGCTTCATGGATAAGTGTCACTGAATGTCATCTGCGTAGCAGTTGAAAGTAATCATGTACTTCCTCATAATTTTACCCAGAGGAAGCATACACAACGTAAAGAGGATCGGTCCAAGCACTGACCCTTGCGGGACTCCGTAGCAGACCTTGGTGTGCGCAGAGGATTCATTATTAACATGGACAAACTGGGATCGATCCGTTAGATGAGATTTAAACTAGTGTTGCACGATATAATTTTTTTTTACCCCGATACCAATACTAATACATTTCTGCTCCTCAAGGCCGATACCCGATAATATTTATATTTTTTCTCCTGTAGTTTTGTTTTGACCTAACCAGATGTATCATAACAAAGCATTACTACTATGAACAAAACAAAGCCAAGAGAACAGTTTTGACTCTTCAAATAAAGTGACTATTTATTTTCAAATAAATATAACAGTCTGAGTCAAATGCAATATGCCAATGCAATGTGTTTTCCTTCCCAATGAATGAACATCAAAACCAACAACTATTTCTGCAGATACACAGTGCTATAGAGACTAGTAGTCTTGGTCCATCAAACAAGTAGTAGTATTACCTTTAAGTTAACATGGTATTACTAATAGGTATACTAGTTCAGCAGCAAGTCTATCAAAAACAAACAAAAATAAATGAGAGAGTGAGATGTAAACTATTGGAAATATTTTTCCAATAGTAAGGCTCATCACTCATTCACTCTCAGTGGTACAAAAATAAGGGCCTATAGAGCAGTTGCCATTAGCAAGTAATAACAATAAAGCCAAGGATTCACATTAAATACTGACAGGTCAGTCAGACATGTAACAAAACAAGACAAACTGAAAAAGTGCATGACTGCATTCCTATTTTAAATATTTCTGTAACAAACTGAAAGTGCAGTCCTTCTCACAAGCAAATAACTGGTACTGAAACTTTCTATGTAACAAACTGAAACTGCAATCCTCACAGTATAACAGTCATTTTACAGAACAAAGGATTGTAATCTATAATATGACAGTGAGTTAACCCATTTTACCTAAGGCATGAGGTTTTAATGGTTTTTCTTCTCTTTTTTTCTCAATTGAGAGAGAGAAAGAGGGGGGAGAGGGAGACAGAGAGTGAGACTGAGACACAGAGAGGGATAGAAAGAGGGGGGATTGACCCTGCATCGTCACTCTTATCCTACTTCTACTGTTTTTTGTTTTAATTCTGAATGGATGAGTGGGATATCTTTTTTTTTTTTTTTTCATGAAGAGCAGTTGCTCTGCCTTCTGGCATAGCAGTCAGTTTCTTTTCTCCGTCATCACGTTTCCAGCCCCCGAAAACAAACGCTCCGAGTCAACACTAGTGCACGGTGATGACAGATATTTACGAGCAAGCTGAGACAGTAGCCCGTAACAGGACTCGTTGCTTCTCCAGTATTCCAACGGGCAACGCTTCAACTCAATGGTGGGCTCCAACAGATATGACCGGAGCTAACAATAAAAACAAAAGCACCGAAGAACGGCGTCTGATTATGATTATGTTCTGAATTATACCCGGTTCCATTTTAAACACAAGTGTTCATAAAACATTAATTTAAATCAAATATACACTTACGTCCACTTACATCCACTCTGCTGTTTTCGGGTTGTTGAGCAGGCTCTGCATTTTCTGCAATGATGGCCTGGAACATTCCCAAGAGAGAGTTGTTTTTGCGGTCATTTCTGGTCCTCTTTGCTGGCGGCTCGTCGTTTGGGCTGGGCCCGGGGGGGTCAGTGGCCAGTCGGTCCCTCTCTATTTTGTGCAGCTCATCCCGCAGCATTTCTGTTGCTTGGCGTTTAGATGCACGGGTGAAGAAGAGGTCCTTGTACCGCGAGTCATATATAGTGGAGAGATAGTACATTGGCTTTTGCTTGACGTCACCAAAACGCATTTCCACAGCTTTTGGCAGGGTCTCCTTTGTTGTTTTAACTCCGTGGTCTGTTGGGACAGTTTCTTTTAGCATGCGTGTTAGCGCTTGGACAGAAGGGATCATGTCTGCAGTTGTGGCAGTAGCCTTGCTAATGTGTTTAGTCAGCTTTTCACACGGTTCCAAGATGGTCAGGATGTTTTCAATCAGGTCCCATTGGTTTGTGCTGAGCGTCGCCCCGGGTAGTAACCTGTACTGTACACCATAGGCTGCAATAGCTTTCTTCAGTTTTACCAGGCTCTGGAGCATATAGAATGTACTGTTCCAACGCATTGACACGTCTTGTTGGAGTCGTGCTTCGGGTATTTTCAGGTCGGACATTAGCCCTTGCAGGTTGGTCATCGCAACTTGGGAGTGCTTAAAGTGTCCACAAATCTTCCTACTGATGGCAATGCAGTCAATCACAGCTCTTTGGGCCAGCACAGCATCCTCTACAGGCAGCTGTAAAGTATGAGCCATACAGCCCAGGCTCTCGACGTTATGATCTCGCATTGCTTTTGCCATGTTAGCTGTGTTGTCTCCTAGGACAGCATGGACCATCTCTTTCTTTATTTTCCATTTCTGGAGCCTAGCTACAAAGGCCAACGTATGCAGTCAGCATTGTGTGAGCCTGGTAGTTCCTGAGAATGTAACACTGCTCTGTATAGTCTGAAATCTTTGTCCAGCATGCTCACAGGGTGAGTATCACAGGTCCATATGTCCGTGGTGAAACTTATGTGCTGTGCATCGTTGTCGATCATAGTATGAAGGAGTGTAGCAATCTCATCATATTTGGCTGGTAAGCACTCAGAAAAGTGGCATCGGCTTGGAATGTTGTACCTGGGCTCCAGATGATGAATTACCCGAACGAAACCTCTGTCTTCGACGATGGAAAAGGATTGATCATCAAGCGCCATCATTTCCATGATGAAGTTAGTGGGTCATCTTTATGAAACTTCTTTATTTTTTCAAACGCCTCATCGATAGGTACGTTCCCCCCGGGTTCCTTTGCAGCCGGCTTCGGGTTAGCAGCTTCGTTAGCCACTTTGGCTTCCTCGTACGCTTTTAACACGCCATCGTAGCGGTGGTGATGTTTCAGGTGACTTATTAAGTTGGATGTGTTGTAGCTCGAAGCCTTTTTTCCCCCTCGTGGAATTTCTCCTCCGCAGTTATTGCAAACTGCAAGCGAAATGTTTTCCTCGGAAAATTTAAAAAAGTCCCAAACCACCGACGCCATGTTAGTTGTTCACTACCATCCCTCTCCTCCTGCCTCTGCTTCACAGGCGCGCTGCGTTCTGTGCCGTCCAGGTGATTACGTCACACCCAGGGAGCGCTGGATTAGTGGAAAAACAACACCTTCCTCAAGCCACACGCAGTCACTGATACCATTGTACTGGCAAAACGGGAGAAGCCCGCAAAAAAACAAACGCCCGCATCCCAATCCACCCACGCCGCATGGTTTTGACCAAAAAAGAAATAGTATATGTTATCAGCGCTAATATCGGGGCTAAATAATGTGATCGGATTTATTGGTATGACGTCATAATTGCTGATATTGGTCCGATAAATATCATGCACCAGTAATTTAAACCAGGAAAGAGCGGATCCTGCTATACCGATAGATTGTTCTAGTCTCTGAAGCAGGATGCGGTGGTCGATTGTGTCAAACGCAGCACTTAGATCCAATAGGACAAGAACAGAGAGAAGACCACTGTCCGAAGCCATGAGTAGGTCATATGTCACCTTCAGCAGAGCAGTCTCTTTGCTGTGATGGGTTGTAAATCCAGACTGGAAATCCTCCAATAAATCGTTGTTATGAAGAAAATCACAAAGTTGATTCGTAACAACTTTCTCTAGGACTTTAGAAATAAAAGGAAGGTTGGATATTGGCCTGTAGTTAGCTAGGGTGCTTGAGTCAAGAGTAGGTTTTTTAAGGAGAGGTTTAATCAATGCAGTCTTAAAAGACTGGGGAACATATCCTGTTAATAAAGACGTATTGATCAAGTTAAGCAAGGACGTACTGATCAAGGGAAGAGTTTCCTTCAGCAGTTTAGATGGAATTGGGTCTAAAAAACACTTAGATGGTTCGGCTGCCAACACCACTGAATTTAACTCAGGAAGGTCAATAGGTGCAAAGTTACTAAGGTGCACCAGAGGCCTTAGGGGCTTCTCAACAATTTCAGGGTGATGAAGGCAAAAAGTTACTAATTTTACCTCTTAGTTTTAAGATTTTTTTCATTGAAGAAGCTCAAGAAGTCGTCGCTGCTGAGGACTAATGGAATACACGGTTCAGCTGTGCTCTGACACAGCTTGGCTACAGTGCTGAAGAGATATCTGGGGTTATTCTTCAATAAGAGACGAGTAGTAATGTGTCCAAGCACGTCGTAAGGCCTTCTTATATTTATCAAGACATTCCTCCACTGTCCGGTTAGCCCTCTCCAACCGCTTCGAGGCCCTTATGCATCCTCCTAAGCCCGACAGGACCAGCCCGAACCAATCCCCTCTCCGCGGTGACGTGGCGGTGTTCTCTACAGCGGCTGCCAGGGCTCCCATGGCTCCTACACGGCCACCCGGCGGAGCCCCCGGACCTTCGTCATCATCCATCGATGTCTCCGCGGCGTGCCGGCCCGACGATCTTCGGGCGACCAGCTCCCGGGCGTCACCGGGCGCTGGTTCGATGAACACTTCCCTGCCGGCGTGCAGAGGGATTCCCGAGTGGCCCGGCACCGGCGGAAGGGACCCTTCTCCGTCGGTGCCTGGTCGTGCTCGGTCACCCGGAAACCGCCTGGACCACCGCTCTGAGAGCCGGACCGCGTCCTCGGCCGCCCGCAGGAGGTTTCTCCGGGAGGCAGTCCGACGGAACTCCGCCGGGCCCGCCACCGCCGCCTCGGACCGAGATGGCAGACCACCCCCGCTGCCGCAGCCGTCCACCGCACCTCTGAGTCCACCCAGCCCGGCCATCAGCTCCACTTCGGGCACAGGAGCCATGAAACCCCTGCCGCTGTTCCCACCCACCACCTTGATCGTCGGTGACAGCATCACACGAGGTATCCGTTTCTTCAACGCCACTACTCATTCTTTCCCCGGTGCAACTGTCGCCGACATCATAACAAAACTCCCCGGTCTTCTTCAGTCACTCCCTCCCTCTATCCACCGCATCATTGTCCACGTAGGCACCAACGACACAGCTCATAAACAATCTGAACTGACCAAAATGGACTTCAAATCACTTCTCCACATCCTTCAGTGCAGCGGCAAATTCTGTTTTTATAAGTGGTCCGCTACCAACGCTAACGCGTAGCATTGATCGTTTTAGCCAGCTCCTCAGTCTGAACTCCTGGCTTCGCTCACTCTGCAGCACCCTCTCCACCCACTTCATTGACAATTTTAATCTGTTCTGGAATCGACCCCCATTTTTCTCCCATGACGGACTTCACCCAAATAAACTGGGCTATTACACACTCAATGCTAATATCCAACACCATATACACACCAACTGACTAGCACTATGGACACTCTCCCTGTCACCCTCTTCCTCCCTGCCTGTCGATACCCCACCAGGAAACAGCGCCCTCCAGAGCCCCCCCTCTGAGACCCTCGCCCTCACCATCCCCACCACCGGCTCCCCCAACAGGCCCCAACTGGTACTGCACACCAATCCCATCGCCTCCACTACAGCAAGCTCCCCCTCCCGTCCCAAACTGGTACTGCACCCTCCAATCACAGAGCCTCTCTGCCATTCTGTCATTTCACCAGGATCTCACCACAGCTTTTTCATTCAAACAGTCACAACTTCTAGACCCTCCTGCTCAAATCCAATACATGCAAAACAAAGGACAAGAAATCAAACAAACCTCCGCTGCCTTCCCCCTGCCTCACTGCCCACCCCACAGCCCCCTACCCTAAAGGTGGCCCTTCAAAACACCCGCTCCCTCAACAACAAAGGACACATCATGGCTGACTTTTTAACGGACAATAACCTGGACTTTCTCTGTTTAACCGAAACCTGGCACAATCATCTCGACCTCTTCCCACTAAACCAAGCCACACCCCCCGGTTACTCCTACCTGCACCAACCCCGCCTCACTGGACGAGGCGGTGGCGTCGCATTCATCCACAAACAGACCCTCAAGACCACCCCCATCCCCACCCCGACTGTCCACTCATTTGAACACATTTCAGTCAAACTCCCTGGCCCCACCCCACTGGTCATTGTAACCATCTACCGCCCTCCAAAACCCCACCCATCATTCCTTTCTGATTTCTCTGAACTGGTCACCCAACTAAATACCATCTCATCCTCTGTCCTGTTACTTGGTGACTTCAATTTCCACATCGACAACCCCACCTGCAAACAAGCCTCTGATTTTCTGGACCTACTCGACACCCTCAACCTCACCCAACATGTACACTCCCCCACCCACTCCCACGACCACACCCTCGACCTCATCTGCTCTACCGGCATCTCCATCCTCCATCTCTCCACCACCAACCTCTACATATCTGACCACCTGGCCGTCACTTTCAGCATTGACCCCCCCCCCTCTGCTTCACAGTGAAAAAAGACTCATCTCCTTCAGAAACCTCAAATCCATCTCACCACAGGACCTCTCTGCTTCCCTATCTGCCACCCTCACTGCATCCCCTCCCCCACCTCCTGCCAAACTTGCCGACCTACTCAACTATTACAATAACACTCTATCCTCCTGCCTGGACCAGCTCGCACCCCTCAAAACAAGAACAGTTTCATTTAGACATTCCGCCCCCTGGTTTACCTCAGAACTGCACAAAATGAAATCTCACAAACGCCAACTAGAACGTCTCCACCACAAAACCGGCCTCACTGTCCACCTCCAAGCCTACACTGACCACCTCCACCTATACAGAACAGCCCTCAAGTCCGCCCGCTCATCCTATTACTCCAACCTCATCCACTCCAGCTCCAGCAACCAAAAGACTCTTTTCACCACAGCCAAAAAACGTATCCATCCCATAGACACCATCTCCACCACCTTCACCCCGGAAAAGTGTAACTCATTCCTCTCATCTTTTCAAACCAAAATCAACACAATCTACAACTCCCTTCCCCCACCTTCCATTCCCAGCTCCTCCCCTCCTCCCCTCATCCCATCAGCACTCTCCCATTTCTCACCTGTTTCTCCAAACGACGTGTCCAACATCATCTGCTCCATGTCATCATCCTCCTGCATCCTAGATCCCATCCCATCCTCCCTCATCAAGCACTGCCTCCCCGTCATCTCTCCCATCATTACACAAATCATCAACTCCTCCCTCAACTCTGCCACTGTTCCCCCCTCACTCATACTGGCTGCTTTCACCCCCATCCTTAAAAAACCTGGACTCAACCCCGACGATATCAATAACTTCCGGCCCATCTCCAACCTCCCTTTCCTGTCGAAAATCCTGGAACGAATCATTGCATCACAGATCAAAGCCCACCTCAACAATAACAATCTCTATGAACTGTTTCAATCAGGATTCCGCACCCACCACAGCACCGAAACTGCCCTCATAAAAGTCACAAACGACCTTCTCATATCTGCTGACTCCGGCCAACTCTCCATCCTCATCCTCCTCGACCTCTCCGCAGCTTTTGACACCATTGACCACGCCATCCTCCTGTCCCGCCTACACTCCCTCCTCAACATCACAGACACTGCTCTCAACTGGATCCAGTCATATCTCACAAACCGGAATCACTTCATCCACATCAACAACTGCTCCTCCAAAACTGCCCCCGTGTCCCAAGGTGTCCCCCAGGGTTCGGTGCTTGGTCCTCTCCTCTTTATCATCTACCTCCTCCCTCTCGGCCACATCCTCCGTCAACACAATCTCCATTTCCACTGCTATGCTGACGACATTCAATTATATATCTCTTCCACCTCCATCACCCCCGAGACCCAAC